GGCAGTGTTTTGTTCTGTTGTCCATGAGGTTGCTATGAGTTGGAACTGATTTGACGCTACTCCACTGTAGATATGTACCACAATTTGCTTATTCACTCATCTGTTACAGGAAACCTGGGTTGTTTCCATTTATTTGGTTTTGTGAATAAAGCAGCAATGAACAAAGGTGCTAATAGTCTGTTCAAGTCATTATTTTTAGGTCTCTATGACATACACCAGAGAAGCCCTGGAGCACAGTGGTTAAGCATTCAGCCGCTAACCAAAAGTTGTAACACACTAGCCGCTCCATGGGAGAAAGATGTGGCAGTCTGCTTCTGTAAAGATGTGCAGTTTTGGAATCTCTATGCGGCAGTTCTACCCTCTTCTATACGTCACTACGGGTAAGAATTGACTTGGCAACCATGGGATGGGTTTGATAGGAGGATATATACCTAGGAGTGTGATTGCTGGATCATAGTGTTTTTATATTTCTAGTTTTTTGAGAAAGCACCATACCATTTTCCATTGTGGTTTTACCATTTGAAGTCCCACCAGCATTGGCAAGGGTCCAATCTCCCCACATCCTGTTCATATGTTTGCCCATTTTGTAACTGGGTTGTTAGTATTTTTGTTGTTGAGTTGGTGCAATATCTTTAGGTTTTAGAGATTAGACCCTTAGAAGATAAAACATTTTCAGAGATGTTTTCTGTCTGTAGGCTGTCTATTTACTCTTTCAATAAAGTTTTTTGATGAGCATGTTTTTAATTTTTATGAGGTTCCATTTATCTGTTTTGCCTTCTTCTATTCATGCATTTGTTGTAATGTTTGTTATCCTATTTTTTAGAAAAGGTTAGGTCCCATAATTTTCTTCCTATGTTGTCATCCAGGAATTTTATGGTTTTAAGTTTAACATTTAGATATTTGACCCATTTTAAGTTAGTTTTTGTGTCTGGTGTGAGTATGAGTTCTGTTTCATTTTTTCTGTAGTTTGATACCCAGTTTAGCCTGTACCATTTATTAAAGAGACTGTTTCTGCCCCACTGAATGAACTTTGAACCCTTGTCAAAAATCAGTTGCCCATAGATGGCTGGCTTTAATTCTGAGTTCTTAATTATATTCCACTGGTCTACGTGTTTATCACTGAACCAATACCAGGCTTTTTTCTTCTTTTTTTTTTTTTTTTGTAGTGGCTGTATAGGATATTTTGATACTGGGGAGTGTGAGGCCTCCTGCTTTGTTCTTTTCAATAATGGTACGACTATTCAGGGTTTCTTTCCTTTCCGTATGAAGTTGGTTACTAGTTATTCCATTTCAGTAAAGAATGTTGTTGGGATATGTATCCTGATTGTGTTGTATCTGTAGCTCAGTTTAGGTAGAATTGACATTTTCACTGTATTAAGTCTTCCAATCCATGAGCATAGGATGTCTTTCCATTATTGTAGATCTTTTTAGTCTCTTGTATTAGTGTTTTATAATTTTCATTGTATAAGTTTTTTATGTCCCTGGTTAGGTTAATTCCTAGGTATTTTACCCAGTTAGGGGCTATTGTAAACGGTATTGTTTTCTTGATTTCTTTTTTGGAGTAGTGTTTGTTGGTGTAAAGGAACCCAACTTATTTCTTTGTGTTGCTCTTGTACCCTGCAGCATTGCTAAATTCCTCCATTAGTTTCATCAGTTTTCTTGTGGAATCTTTAGGGTCTTCATGTACAGGGTCATGTCATTTGCAAATAGAGATAGTTTTACATCTTCCTTTCCAATTTGGATACTTTTTATTTCTCTTTCTTGTTCTATTGCCCTGGCTAGGGCTTCCAGTAGAATATTAAATAAGAGTGATGATAATGGACATCCTTGTCTTGTTTCCATTCTCACAGGAAAAGTTCTTAGTCTTACTCCATTGAGTAAAATGATGAATGCTGGTTTTGTACATATGCTTTTAATTTGTTGAGAAATTTCCATTCTATTCCTATTCTGAAGAGAGTTTTTGTCAGAAAAACGTGTTGAATTTTATCAAATGCCTATTTTTAATCAATTGATATTATCATACGGTTCTTTTCTTTTTTTTTTTATTTATGTGGTGGATTACACTAATTGATTTTCTTACGCTGAACCACCCTTGTAATCCTGGTATGAATCCCAGTTGATCATGGTGTATGATTTATTTGATGTGTTGCTGAAGTCAGTTGGCTAGGGTTTGTTGAAAAATTTTGCATCTATGTTAATAAGGGATATTGGTCTGTAATTTTCTTTCTTTCTTCCCTTTTTTTTTTTTTTTTTTTTTTGGTGATTTCTTTGCCTGGTTTAGGTTTCAGGGATATGCTGGTTTCATAGAAAGTTTGGTAGTGTCGCTTCTTCTTCTAGTCTTATATGTTTTGGAAGAGATAAAGTAGGATTTGTTTCAACTCATCTCTGAAGGTTTGGTAGTATTCCCCAGTGCAGTCATCTGGTCATGGGCTTTTTTTTTTTTTGGCAATTTTTGATGACATCTTCTAGGTCTTCTTTTGTAATAAGTCTGTTTAAATTTTCTAACTCTTTGTGTTGGTTTGGGTAGGTTGTGTTTTTTCTAGGAATTAGCCTATTTCTTCTGAGTTTTCAAATTTGTTGGAGTATAAATTTTCATAGTAGTCAATTATGATCTTCTTTATCACTGTTGGATCAGTTGTAACATCATCAATTTCATTTGGTTATTTGCCTGATCTTCACTATTTCCTTTTTTTCTGATAGGTTTTGGTTTCTTTTGCTCTTCCTTCATTATTTGTTCAAGTTGTTGGTTTAAGTTAATGATTTTGGGTCTTTCTTCTCTTTTAATGTAAGCATTTATTGCTATAAATTTCCCTCTGAATACTTCTTTAGCTGTGTCCCACTGGTTTTGGTATGTTGTGTTTTCAATTTCATTTGATTCTAGGAATTTTTTAATTTCACTTTTGATTTCTTCTGTGACCCAATAGGTTTTTAAATAATGTATCATTTAGCTTCCATGTATTTATTTTTTTATGTTTTTCTCTGTTATTGATTTCTAGCTTCATACTGTTATGCTCAGAGAAGATGCTTTGTATGATTTCGATCTTTTTAAATTTGTTGAGAGTTGTTTTGTGTCCTAGTGTATAATCTATTCTGGAAAATGATTCATATGTGCTGAAGAAGAATGTGTATTGTTCTGATGCTAGATGGAGTGTTCTATGTATGTCAGTTAGGTTCACTTGGCTTAAGATTTTATTTCAGTTCTCAATGTCTTAAGTGATCTTTTTTGATGTTCTGTCTATAATTGAAAGTGGTGTGTTGAAGTCCCCTACTATTGATGTGGAGTTGACCATTTCACTTTCATACTAGTCAGTATTTCTTTCATATATGTTGGTGCATTGCTGTTAGGTGCATAAATATTTATAATTGTTATGTCTTCTTTCTGGATTGACCCTTTTATTATTCTGTAATGCATTTTTTATCTCTTGTAAAATATTTTATTTAAAGTCTATTTTATCTAATATCATTATGGCCATCCAAAATCATTTTTGTTTACAGTTTGCATGGAATATTTTTCTTCATATCTTTATCTTTATCTCTGTGTCCTTATGTCTAAGGTGTGTTTCTCGTAGAGAGCAAAAAGCTGAACCACGTTGTTGGATTTTTTAATTCTTCTGCCTCTCTCTGCTTTTTACATGGAGGGTTTAGACCATTTACATTTAAGATTATTACTGAAACTAAAGGGTCCATCTCACTCAATTTGCTATTTGTTTTTTGAGTGTTATATCTTCTTTATTTTTTTTACTTCTCATTTTTCTGTTTTGTTTTATTTGGACTGCTTTCTATAATAAGCCTTTATGTTAACCTTCTTCATTTTTAATGAATGTTTCTTCTTGGTGATTTCTTTGAGGCTACCACATATGTTACATTACACAACTTGCAATTGCTAAAACATTTAACATATGAACAACAGTTAACATACAATCTTAACATAATGAGTCTGTTCCTGATATACTCCTTCTCCTATTTCCATTAGTGTGTCTCCATCAACAATATATAACCTATATTCAATAAGTTTACTCTGTAGTTATTTCTTACAAACTTGATGTTGTATTGTTTGCAGGATTTAATTTTTGAGTTTATTACCTGAAAATGTCATATACTTGGTCCTTATGATTGCCCGTGTTGTTGCATTTTTTAGAGATCTCTCTCTCTCTCGTGTTTTTTAATTTATTTTTTCCAATGTATAGAGACAAGTATTTGCTCAATGCTCTTGCCTTTATATTTGGAGTACTCCCTTGAGTAATACTTACAGAGCCGGTCTTATTGTAGTTGTTGTTAGGTGTTGTCATGTAGGTTCCAATTCAGAGTAACCCTATGTACAGCAGAATGAAACATTGCATGATCCTCCACCGTGTTCAAAATCGTTGCTATGTTTGAGCCCATTGTTTCAGCCATTGGGTCAATAGGGTCTTCCTCTTTTTCACTGACCCTCTACTAAGCATGATGTCCTTCTCCAGGTTGTGGTCCCTCTTGATAACGTGTCCAAAGAACTTGAAACAAACTATTCAGTCATCCTATCTTCTTGGGAGCATTCTGGCTGTGCTTCTTCCAAGATAGATGTGTTTGTTCTTCTGGCAGTCCATGGTACATTCAGTACTCTTCGCCAACACCATAATTCAAAGGCATCAATTCTTATTTAATCCTCTTTATTCATGGTCCAGCTTTCAGATGCATATGAGGCAATTGAAAATACTATGGCTTGAGTCAGTCACACCTTAGTCCTCAAAGTGGCATATTTGCTTTTTAACACTTTAAAGAGGACTTTTGCAGCAGATTTGCCCAATGCAATAGTATATTCGATTTCTTGACTGCTGCTTCCATGTCTGTTGACTGTGGATCCAAGTCAAATGAAATTCTTGACAACCTCAGTATTTTCTCCATTTATCATGACGTTGCTTATTGGTCTAGTTGTGAGGGTTTTTTTTTTTTTAATTGTACTTTAGGTGAAGGTTTACAGAGCAAACAAGTTTCTCATTAAACAATTAAGACACATATTATTTAAAAATATGGAACACTTCAAAAATTTGTGTGTCATCCTTGCTCAGGGGTCATGTTGATCTTCTCTGTATCATTCCAATTTTACTATATGTGCTGCCGAAGTGAGCAACAGTTGTAGGATTTTTCTTTTCTTTATGTGGAAGTGCAATCCATACTGAAGACTATAATCTTTGTTCTTCATCATTAAGTGATGCAAGTACTCTTCACTTTCAGCAAGCAATGTTATGTCACCTGAATATCGCAGGTTGTTAATGAGTCTTCCTCCAATCATCATGCTGTGTTCTTCCTCATATAGTCAACTTCTTGGATTATTTGCTCAGCATACAGATTAAATAAGTATGGTTGAAGGTTACAAACCTAACACCTACCTTTCCTGATATTAAAATACCAAATATCCCCTTGTTCTCTTCCAACAATAGCCTCTTTGTCTGTGTACAAGTTCCGCATGAGCACAATTAACTGTTCTGGAATTCCCATTCTTTGCGATGTTATCTACAATTTGTTACGATCCACATAGTTGAGTACCTTTGCATAGTCAGTAAAACACACGTAAACATCTTTCTGGTATTCTCTGCTTTCAGCCATCTGACATGAGCAATGATATCTCTGTTCCACGTCCTCTTCTGAATCTGGCTTGGATTTCTGGCAATTCCCTGCTGATGCACTGCCACAACTGCCTTTGAATGATCTTCAGCAAAATTTTACTTGTGTGTGATATTAATTATATTGTTTGATAATTTACGCATTTGGTTGGATCACCTTTCTTTGGAATAGGCATAAATATGGATCTCTTCCAGTCTGTTGTCCAGGTAGCTGTCTTCTAAATTTCTTGGCCTAGATAAGTGAGCACTTCCAGTGCTGCATCTGTTTGTTGAAACATCTCAGTTGGTATTCTGTCAATTCCTGGAGCCTTATTTTTCACCCTTGTCTACAGTGCAGCTTGGACCTCTTCCTTCTGTACCATACGTTTTAGATTATATGCTACCTTCTGAAATAATTGAACATTGTCCAATTGTTTTTGGTATAGTGACTCTGTGTATTCCTTCTGTCTTCTTTTGATGCTTCCTGGGTCATTTAATATTTTCTTCACAGAATCCTTCAATACTGCAACTCAAAGCTTGATTTTTTTTCTTCCTTTCCTTTCAGTTTGAGAACTGCTGAGTGTGTTCTTCCTTTTTAGTTTTCTATCTCCAGATCTTTGCACATTTCATTACAATACTTTACTTTGCCCTCTCAAGTCATCCTTTGAAATCTTCTGTTCAATTCTTTTACTTCATCATTTCTTCTTTCCACTTTAGCCACTCCACATTCAAGGGGAAGTATCAGTGTCTCTTCTGACATCCTATTGGGTCTTTTCTTTCTTTTTAATGCCTTCTTGCCTTCTTCATGTGTAATGTCCTTGATGTCATTCCACAACTCTTCTGGTCTTTGGTCATTACTGTTCAATGAGTCAAAACTATTCTTGAGATAGTCTTTAAATTCAGGTGGGATATACTCAAGATTGTATTTTGGCACTCGTGGACCTGTTCTAATTTTCTTCAGTTTCATCCTGAACTTGCATATGAGCAGTTGATGGTCTATTCCATAGTTGGCCCTTGGCCTTGTTCTGACAGTAATATCAAGCTTTTCCATTGTCTCTTTCCACAGATATAGTCAATTTGATTCCTGTGTATTCCATCTGGCGAGGTCCACGTGTATAGTCACCATTTACGTTGTTAAAAAAAGGTATTTGCAGTGAAGAAGTCATTGGTCTTGCAAAAGTCTATTGCATGATCTCTGGTGTCATTTCTGTCACCAAGGCCTTATTTTCCAACTACCAATTCTTCTTCTTTGTTTCCAGCTTTCACGTTCCAATCACTAGTAATTATGAATGCATCTTGATTGCATGTTTGATCAGTTTCAGACCGCAAAAGTTGATAAACATCTTCAATTTCTTCATCTTTGTACTTAATGGTTAGTGTGTAAATTTGAAAATAGTCATATTAACTGATCTTCTTTGTAGAAGTATGAATAATATCCTATCACTGATAACATTGTACTTTAGGATAGATCTTGAAATGTCGTTTTTGACGATGAACGTGATGCCATTCCTCTTCATTTTGTTATTCCTGGTATAGTAGACCATATGATTGTCTTATTCAAAATGGCCAATATCAGTACATTTCAGCTCACTAATGCCTAGGATATTGATCTTTATGCGTTCCATTCCATTTTTGACAATTTCCAATTTTCATAGGTTCATGTTTTGTACATTCCATGTTTCAATTATTAATGGATGTTTGTGGCAATTCCTTCTCATTTTGATTTATGCCATATCAGCAAATGAAGGTCCCAAAAGCTTGATTCCATCCTTGTCATTGAGGTCAACTCTACTTTGGGGAGGCAGCTCTTCCCCAGTTGTATTTTGAGTGCCTTCCAACCTGAGGGGCTCATCTTCAAGCACTGTATCAGACAATGTTCTGCTGCTATTCATAAGGTTTCCACTGGCCAATTTTTTCAGAAGTAGACTGCCAGGTCCTTCTTCCTAGTTTGTCTTTGTCTGGAAGCTCTGCTAAAAATTGTGGACCATGCTGGTATTTGAAATACCAATGGCAGAGCTTGGAGTATCACAGCAACATATAAGCCACCACAGTACAAGTTGACAGATGCATGGTTTGTCAAGTTCCTTATTTTGTTCCTCTGTTTCTTTCCTGATTTCTGCTAGTTTGCTTTCTGAGTGCATTTTGCTTTGTTTAAACGTATTTAGAACCATAGTCTGAAAAGCATCGTATTTTTTGTATTAGTTTGACTCTATAGGAGAAATTTCTTCTTCATATTTTGCCTTTAACTGGTCCTTTTTTCCTCATAATTGTGTGTGTTTCTTTTTTATGAACTTGTGCCATTTTATTATCTTTTTTATTTATTTATTTTTATATTCTTGTTTTTGAGCTAAAATTATCTGATTGGACAACTGGTGGCATCTTAACATATCACTTAATTCTGTTTCATTTGAGGATGCATGTAAAGGGATCTGTTTAAATTGTCACCCTCAGAGTCTATAAATTTTATCAGTGTGTTCGTTTCTCTCTCAATTAGATCTTGGGAATAAATTTATTGAGTAGATGATGTCAAGGCATCATAAAAAACTCTTTATGATTTGTTAATGCATATGAAATTGAATGAATTGCCTTTAAAGTTATTTCTTTTGTGTGTCACTGGTGGTTTTCAAACATGTGGAGGAAGCATTGAGTGTCTTTTGGGAGACACATGTGGATATGTCTCGAGTTGCAATATCGAAGGATTTTACGAAGAAAATATTAAACAACACAGGAAGCATCAAAAGAAAATGGAAGGAACACATAAAGTTACTGTACCAAAAAGAAACGGACGACGTTCAATCGTTTCAGGAGATAGCATATGATCAAGAACTGTTGGTACTGAAGGAACAATTCCCAGCTGCACTATAGACATTGACAAAAAACAAAGCTTCAGGAATTGACAGAATACTAACTGAGATGTTTCAGCGAAAGGATACAGCACTGAAAGTGTTCACTTATCTATGTCAAGAAGTTTGGAAGACAGCTACCTGGTCAACCGCCTGGAAGAGATCCATATTTATGCCTATTCCCCAAAAAGGTGATCCTTTGAACACTATCATTAATATCACACGCAAGTAAAATTTTGCTGAAGATCATTCAAAAGCAGCTGAAGCAGTATATTAACAAGGAACTGCCAGAAATTCAAGCTGAGCTCAGAAGAGGATATGGAACAAAGGATATCACTGCTGATGTCAGATGGATTCTGGCTGAAAGCAGAGAATACCAGAAAGATGTTTATGTGTGTTTTATTGACTATGGGAAGGCATTCAACTGTGTGGATCATAACCAATTACGGATAGCATTGTCAAGAATGTGTATCCCAGAACAATTAATTGTGCTCATGAGGTAACCGTACATAGATCAAGGGGTAGTAGTTGGAACAGAACAAGGGGATACTGCATGGTTCAAAGTCAAGAAAGGTGTGTGTCAGGGTTGTATCCTCTCACCATACTAATTTAATCAGCATGCTGAGCAAATAATCCTAGAAACTGGAATATATGAACAAGAACACTGCATCAGGATTTGAGGAAGACTCATTAGCAATCTATGTTATGCAGATGACACAACCTTGCTTGCTGAAAGTGAAGAGGAAATTAAGCACTTACAGAAGAAGATCAAAGACTACAGCCTTCAGTATGGATTACACATCAACACAAAGAAAACAAAAATCCTCATAACTAACCAATAAGTAACATCATGATAAACAGAGAAATTATTGCAGTTGGCAAGGATTTCATTTTACTTAGGTCCACAATCAAGGCCCATGGAAGCAGCAGAGAAGAAATCAAAGGACCTATTACATTTATCAAATCTGTTTCAAAAGAACTCTTTAAAGTGTTGAAAAACAAATATGTTACTTTAAAAACTAACTTGTGCCTGACCCAATCCATAGTGGTTTCAATAGCCTGATATGCTTTTGAGAGCTGAGCAATTAATAAGGAAGACAGGAGAAGAACTGACACCTTTGAATTATGGTGTTCTGAAGAATATTGAATATTCTATGGACTGCCAAAGGAATGAACAAATCTGTCTTGGAAGAAGTACAGCCAGAATGCTACTTATAAGCGAGGATGGCAAGACTTCATCTCACAGACTTTGGACATGTTATCAGAAGGGACCAGTCCCTGGAGAAGGACATCATGCTTAGTAAAGCAGAGGGTCAGCAAAAAAGAAGAATACCCTCAACGAAATAGAGTCACACAGTGGCTGTAACAATGGGCTTAAACATAATAAGGACCAGAGGATGGCATAGGACCAGGCTGTGTTTCCTTCTGTTGTATGTAAGGTCGCTCTGAGTCAGAACAGACTGGATGGCACCTAACAACAACAACATGAACGAGCAAGCTTCCACTTGAAACAGTCAGCTTACACTGAGAAGGAGAGAGGAAAAGGATCATTAAACCACTGCTTATATGATGACACAGAGGTTCAAGGACTTTGAGATTCACGCAAGTTCATGTAACCAGAAATGACTGGTTTCTGACAGAAATTTAGCTCTTTGACCCCAATTTCAGTGCACTTTCATTCTGTT